GTACATTAGAATCCACCCCCTGAAAAAGTCATTCTTCTTTGTAACAAGAGTAACAGCCATCCTTTGTCACCTTTATTTTTATCTTTGAAAGAGGAGGAATAATCAATTACTCAGTCCTGATGAAACATCACGAGTAGGTAGAACTTAATGCTCTGAATTAAAAACCTCCCTGTATACCAGACGAAAAGGAAACCGACCAGTGTGTACACATAGGTTCACAAGAGACTTTTTGGTTAGCTATGCCGTGAAATCTTTGAGATTTCATCATATGTCTTCTCTCATTTTCCTGTTATGAAATGGGGTTTTCAGCATCGTTTTTCTTGTCTGTTTTCAGATCACAGAACTGTGTGGTGCAAAGCGGGTTGGTTATTTTGGTCCAACGCAGTTTTACGTTGCTCTGAAATTAATTGCTGCAGCACAGTCTGGCCTCCCTGTTCGGATAGAGAGCATTAAATGTGGTGAGTATCTTGCATTTATACGTTTTATTGTCCCTGACAAGTTTCTTGTTTATGAGAACCATTTTTAGTGGGTTTAAACTTTTGTGGAATTTCTCCTTGCTTCCTCCAACTCTTTTGTAAAATAAAATAAGAGAACTTAACAGGTAGCTTAGTTTCTTTCTTTTTTAAAGGGGGGAAAAATTCAGAGAGTGACCTGAGATTAGTTCCGTTTGACTGACTTGCAATTAAAATAGATTTTGTTCTTTAGCAGGAATAGACTGGGGCAGGAATCGTGAGCCTGTGGCAAATAATCACACTCAGTTTAATTTTCCACTTGAGGTATCTATAATGTCATTTAAGGCTCTGTTAGGGATTAGGGTGGAGTGATGGGAGACTTTGGGTGGAACTGTGCCTTTTCTCTCTCTCTCATCCCTGTCAGTCACATCAGATATATTCATCCTTTAATTCTCAGTTCCCGAAGCACTCTTCTGATGACCATTAAGTACTTCAGGGCTACCAAACTTTTGTCAGAATGAATTTATCTTCTCAAAGTTCTGATTTAACATTTTCTTATCTTGCTATTCCTTCCCCCAACCAACCATATGCTTGAGTACTTTCCACAATTTGAAAAGCAAAGGCTCCAACTATTAGCATTACTTCTACTGCCTCAGTATTGGTTTTAAAAATCTTTATGAAGAAGGTGATTATTTGAGGGATGTGCTAATGTCCTTTGATAATTCACTGTGATACAAATTACTTTTATATGCCATACAGCTGTGCAGGAACTTTTTTCTTTTCTTCATTTTGAGATGAAAACCACCGAGCTGTTCACACCTGTCCTGTGCAGTCTCTGGTGGATTCAGGATTTATGGTTAGTCCATGGGGACCTTGTAGGACGATCCAAATAGCTGAGAAGCGTGCCATAGCTGGCTATGGGAGACCAAGCCCTTCGCACTAACCATCAGGAGGCCTCAGTCATCATAATCTTTATTAAGGGGTTAGTATGTGCCAGGTACTGTCTTCGTTTAACCCTCACAACACCCTACTAAATTGTGTCAGTTTGCATTGGTTAGGATAAGCTGCGATAATAAACACCACCACAATCTCAGCACCCTAACCAGACAAAGGTTCATTTCCCACTTTGCAGTGGATGTGTAATTATATTTACAATAAAGGATAAATGACTCTCTAGAGCAGCTGCCCTCCATGTGGTAGCCCTGTGATCCTGGCTGCCTCATCTTGTGGCATCTCCAACACAACACCTGTTCCCACAATTGCCACAACAGGGAAAGAGCTTCTCACCCTAGCAGTTAAATGCTTTGGCTTGGTTGTGACTTGCAGCTGTTGTTCACAGTGCATTGGCCAGAACTTTTGTCACATGGATCTGCTTCACTGCAGAGCACATGGGGGAACGCAATTCTCTCATGTGCCTGCAAGGAGAGAACTGATCATGGCTGGGCACTGAAGTCCCTACTGTGGTGCTGTTGTGGTCCCTATCTTACAGATGTGGAAATTGAACTTTAAGGAGGTTGAGTAACTTACCTAAGGACACAGGGTTAGTAGAGTTTGGAGCTAGGAGTTCTACCTCCAGTCCCCACGTTCTTAATTGCTATGTAAAATAGCCTCTTCTCAATTCTTCTTCTGTTTAGTGAGGTGCTGACTCTAATCTGTAATCACAGAATATTTTCTGAATGGGAAACAAATCAGACCCCAAAGGCATCCCTTGGTATGACAAAATTTGGTTCTTTGAAATAGGTTTCTTGATGGAGCATCATTTGATTGGCAGGCTTGGTGTTCATTGTTGCAAGACATAGCAATCACTTGCTTTGATTAGTTAAAGGTTACATTATGTTGAATTTGGATTTGTGGTAGGCATTGTTAGTTTTTATTCCACTGTAAATGGTCATTAGGCTTTAGTCTTTTACCTGATTTGTGCCCAGATTTTTTTTTTTTTTTTTGAGACAGAGTCTCACTCTGTTGCCCGGGCTAGAGTGCCATGGTGTCAGCCTAGCTCACAGC